CCCAAGGGAAAGAATGTGGTTAATCTCTACTAGGAGACAAGTCCAGTCCGCAGTTGTGATGGAGGCCGGATGAGAGACCTCAAGGCCTGACTTCCCCCAGCAAGGCCACTAGAGCCCCCCATCTCCCCGCCTGGGCTGCGCTGGACGCCAGAGTGGGCGGGACTCGAGAGCTCGGGGTGGACGCCTTCGCAGAGGCGAGTCTATCCATCTTCAGGCCTCGGAGCCTGTCACCTCCTGTGCCCCTCTCCCTTCGCATCCTCCATGCAGGCTCTCCCTCCCTTAGATCCCATGGCCCCTTCCTCTTTCCTCGCCCAGTGGTTCCCATGGTAACCCTCGTCCTGGGTACCCTTGCTGAGTCCTCAGCCTCTCCACCTCTCTCTTTCACACACCAGACCACCTTCCCGTCATCCCTAAAATAAGAATGAAAGGGGGCGAGGCCGAGGAGAGGGACAGCGTCAAGGTCACCTTCCTTCTCCTGCGCCCACAGAATGGAGTGGTTTTATATATATCTGGGGAGCAGAGCGATGCATTGCAGGGGAGGAGCCGATCCAGGCTAAGACTCCCAGAGCTCCCCTCCCTGCCCCTTCACTTAGGGCCTTAGTCGCTGCCCTGAGGTTGCTCGTGCCCCTCTGTCCCTTCCTTTCTCCTTACCGGGTGCGATGCCCCGCCCTCCGCCGCTCTAGCCACGCCCCAGCCATGGTCCAGCCCCCCGTGGCACTGACCACGCCCCCTCAGGCCTCCCTGCCCATCTCCCCTGGCAGGCCCTAAGCGTTGCATTTTGCTCTGACCCTGTATTTTGCTTCTCTGATTCTATTATGCTTTCCTTTTATTTCTTCCCAATGCTGTGTGTGAAGAGAGGGTAGAGAATTGCAGTTTATAAGTAGGCTTTGTTGGCAGCACGCATGTGTGGTTTCGCTAGGCCGCCAAGAAGCACACTGTATATACATGCAAGTCTCTGAATCTTGCATGATCAAAAGGCTCTTTGTGTGATGTGGATGTGGGGATGTGTGTTTCTTTGTGGAATATCTCTGTACAGTGTGTACACCTGGTTTTCCTGTGCTGTGTGTCACTCTGGGTGTGTCTCTTTGTTGTTCCACGTGACTCGATGTCCATGTGAGTGCTCTGAGTTTCTGGAGGGTAAGATAGGAGGATCACATCTGATTGCAAGTTTGCTACTACATCCATCTCTTGTTAGATGCTATAGAGTCGACTCTGACTCACAGAGACCCTATGAATGACAGATCGAAGCCTTGTGCTGACCTGCGTTGTTGTTGTT